TTTCTCTGTTCTGTTCAGTTCTGTTCTGTTCTGTGATGTGCTGTGATGTGCTGTGCTGTGATGTAGTTTTTTGTCCGCTTACATTTGTCGCATAGTTTGGATCTGTTCGGGTCTGGGAGCTGCCGTCCTCTGGCTTTGGCCCCTGGAGCAGGGCTCGAACGTTTCGCGCCCAGAGCAACAGCATCGAATGTCCATATCTGGTGTTATGACAAATGCTGTATGTAATTATTGCCTGTACGGGAGGAGTGCAGTATTCTGTGGCATTGATCGGAGGAGGCCTGGAGACGGACCTGCCCCGGCAAAAAGATATCAGAAATGTCGCATATTAATAACGCCCTTCCAATGGCGGAGAGGCAGCCAGCCAGCCAGCCAGCCAGCCAGCCAGCCAGCCAGCCAGGCAGGACACGAAATACGTTTTGTGCCTTAATTAACCCTTTTTAAATTGGGCATAATTAGGGTGGTGCGTCGGCCACTGGCAGAAAAAGTAGACCTACTTGCGGGCCGAATGCCCTTCTTCTTTGGTGGGGGCGGAGGGGAAACGCCTCTAGTTTCTCCCGGTGTAGCCGCCCATCCATCATCTCATCATTATATCATTCACATTCGTTAATATTTTTGAAATATTTTCGCGTAATTTCTTGATATCAATTTACACAGAGCCGCCCTTTAGACGTGGCCCATAATTATATCATTTCGATTGATCAATGCGCCCGTGCTCCCACCAGAGCTCCATGGGGCTGGTAGGGACAGCATGTATGTATAATTGGATGCCAGGCGTACCAGACGGGCCAAATACTGCAGTTCCGGGCAGTGTATGCCTCGGCAGCTCATTACCGAGGGCCCCAGTTAGAAGACTGGCAATCGGGGCAATCAGAACGATCCCCATACCGCGAGGGCGAGGGCACAGGCACAGGCACAGGCACTGGCACTGGCACTGGCACAGCGGGTGTGCCTCTGGTATAATGTATAATTAAAGATCTCTCTCTTTCTCTCTATATATATCTCGCGGGCGATACGCGTCCCCCCGGGGGCAACAGACAGGTGCAAGGCGAGGAACTACATTGGCCATCCATTGTCCGTCAGTTGACGATGATAAATGTGTCGCATGAGCCCAGACATAAATGGTTTGATTTGGTGGAAGCCATCCACCACTCCCCCTCCACTCTACCCCCCCTCTACCTATCGCAGAGCAGGCTCCCAGCAGAAGTCGTCATCGCCATCGCCATCGCCATCGCCTCGATACCGATATCGAGAGTATTTAAAGCAACTTTCACACTACACTCAATTGTCTGTTTTAGGGCCAAGAGCGCCCTAAAAGGCCAAAACACGCGCAGACTCAACAGGCCAGCAAAACGGGTGGAAAAAGATGATGAACCGCAGGACGTGATGGAGCACTTGGTTACCCAGTAGTAATCAGTTGTCAAAAGGACTGCGATTGGGTAGAGAGACTATCTTTTTTGGACCGTCAGAAGGCACATTGTCCTTTGCAGATACATCAATCAAGGCCCCAGCCCTCGTCCAGGGTATCATAACAAAAGCTTAGTAATTTTCCCTCAGTATTTATTTGTATGCTGCACAAATTTGGACACATGTTGCATACCAAAAAATGCACACAACGTAAAAGGATACTTTTTATGCCCCGATTCCCCGATTCCCCGATTCCCGATGCCGATGGCCCGAACCCGAGGCCCAGGCCAAACGCCAATAATTTATAAAGCGGACAATAAAATGTTATCAAACAAAAAATATACATAAATGTATGTGTGTGTGTTGGAGGAATACCACGCGTACGATGCGACAGACAATCGAGAGTCGACAGGCTGAACTAAATGCCGCACGCCTGCGCATGCTGAACAAGAAGCAGGAGGCAGGAGACAGGAGGCAGGAGGCAGGAGACAGGAGGCGGGAGGCAGGAGGCCGGGGCAGATGGACGGAGATTGCTTGAGGATCCTCCTTGGGAGCTCTGGGCCTCTCTGATGATATATGAAATCATATAACAGCAATCGGCAGGCAGTCAGGCAGGCAGGCAGGCAGGCAGGCACACAAGGCACACAAGAGCCACAGCCACAACAGAACGCATAAAGTGTGTGTTGTTTATTAAGCGCGCCGGGAAAATGACACAACAGCAACAACAGCAACAACAGCCACAACGATCGCTGGTTTGGGGCTTATAATTTATGGGGACTTCAGCAGGTTGGCTTAGAGAATTTGCCACAGTTTATTTATGAGGCAAACAGCCACAGCCACAGCCACAACGAGGCAATGAAGGAGAGCCATGCAGCACAATAGAAATGGAAATGAAGTCAATCGAGAGATCAACAATCGAATGCAAAGATGGAAATGAGATTGGCCATGTCAAGAAGTGGGCTAAGCAATCAATCTGACTGTGAATAGGCTCTAAACGGAAGGCTTTTGAAAGGTAATCAATGATGGCAACGATCGCCTCCAAGGATCTACGACGCAGGGAGGTTGCCTAGGAAGGCAGGCAGGGAGTCTTGGGAGTACTTTCTAAGAGATGGGATGGGGCATGCAAACCTATAGATCCCTACTTGATCAAAATGAACTGAAGGAAGGGATCTCTATTAGCTCTATCACATTACAAAGTGTGTGTGTGTGTGTGTGTGTGTGTGTGTGTGTGCCTTTGGAAACCCATTAAAGCGTTCCATATCTCTAAGTACCTGCAATATTTATGACTAATGATCAATTTCAATCACATTCCAATAAGTATTCTTCTATACCCTTCGGTCACATGATATCCGATCCGATCCGATCCGATCCGAACTGAGCCGCAAAAACAGCAACAAAACGGAATACGTAAACGAAACCCGAAAATTTAAATAATTCGCCGAGGCATTCAATCTATATTTAAAGCGAAAATTGATCAAAAAATGTGCCAGGCACGTTTCGAAATTAAATCATTTTAGTTGAGCATGAAGCCACGGCACGGCACGGCACGGCACGGCATGCCACGAAGGCTTTCTTGAAATAAAAACCAAAATAAAGCGACACAAAAAACAAAGAAAACGGCTAAAAATCGAATCAAATCTATGGCAATCTTGACTTTTAAATGATTTTTATAACACTTCTGCGGGTGATTTCTTCCATAAAAACAACAACAAACACGGGGAATGCCACGGATTTAATGGCGTGGCAAAAATTTAATGACACCAAATGCCCCAAACCCCCCCATTGTTTGCATTCTACGCCTCTTTTAATGGATTTTCTGTTTCGATTCGATTCTGTTCGATTTGGTTCGGATCGGCATGGGATCGGATCGGCATGGCATGGTTTTGTTTCTTGTTTGATTTAAAACGTATAAACGGGACCATAAAAAAAATAAAAACCAGAGCTAACCGGAGAGTGTCGTAGCCCCTGAAAGCGTGTTAAAAGTAGACTAATGGGTTTTAATTTTAAGCCAACGAAGCTCAAAGATTTTCTTTTTTTCTGTTTCTTGTTTTTTGTTTCTGCGGGAAAAATTCAAATCGAATAATTGAATAATTGATCGAGTGTGAGTGGATTTGATAAACTTTCTCCGACCGTCCCCCATTCAAAATTAAATCACTTTACGCACTTTAGGCTCCGCCTCGAGAGCGCCCCAAGATTCGGGCCCGGGCCGGGGCTTCGCGATAGGCATCTCTCGGATTCATTGCGGCGCCTTAACCAAACAACAATTTGCCCGTTATTGTATTTGTTTTTGTATTTGTATTTGTATTTGTATTGTTCAAGATACATTTGCGTGCCAATGGAGTAATTTACCACTTAACATATCAATTGTGCGGCTATTAATCAAACAACAGACGAGTCTGAGTCTCGGACTGGGACTGGGGACTGGGGACTGGGACGCGTAGATCGAGTCTCTCTGTCCGCTCGATCCCTGCTTTGATTTGTACGCATCGCTTGTCAAACAAGTGAAACAAAAGACGAAAAGATACAGAAGACAACGCACACAGATACCGCATACCCCATACCCCCATATATGTATGTATGTACGTACACAGACACTTACACATTTCCCATATCGTAAATGTCCATCAAAGTCTCCAGCAAGCAGCAAAGAGGCAAATCATAATAAGAGCATAAAAAGTAGAATTTTTAACACCTCACTCCTCCGCACTTGAGATCTTTTGTTATGCTCGGGACACAGTAGCCCCCCCTTTTGGGTCCCCCAATGCCCAGTGCCCAGTGCCCAGTCTGTGGTACCTCATTGGCAGTTGGACATCCCATCAGAGGGCGATCGATAAACGCTTCGGCGCATTCCTCTCGAGAGCCCCAGGGGCCCCAGGGGCCAAAAACTATTCCATTGAGGCTGTCAGATGACGCCGTCTAATTGCTTTTGTTTGCTCCACTAAGGTGCCTAACGAATTCGAGTGCTCGGAGAGCACACAGAAATATAACAACTCAATACGAAAACGAAACAAATATCTCAAACTCCTTGAAATGATAGATGGCGATGGCGATGGCGACGGGGATGCCAGAGAAGTGGAGGGAAAACACTTAAGCGCCAAAGTATATCTTTGATCTTTTGAAGAACTGACCCCACTCGACTGCTGCCGTTGATGGTCGATTTTTGGGCCAAAAGGTTTGCTTTTTTCCTTCACTTTTTTGTTGCCTTAATTTTGTTCTGGTAGTTCTGATGATCTGAAGAACCACACGCTCTGAAGGGCAGGTGAGGGAATAATGATTTATCTGGACTGGGGGAAACTGCAGATCGCCTTTCGGGACATATTTAACCAATTTCCATCTAAATCGAATCGCAAGCCGCTCAGACTTTTGCTTGAACTGTTCTGCTCACTAGCGCCGCCAGTGGGCATTTTGCGTACTGTCGGTATTCTCTGCGCCGCCGCCGAACTGCTTTGTTACGCTATTACAGTGCTGTTACTGTGCTGTTACAGTGCTGTTACAAGGCTGTTACGTTTTTACACCGCACTGGCCTGGCTGTTACGCTGCCAAATAACTTTGATTTATTTTTCTGGCCATATTTTCAGAAATAGTGAGCTCCAGCCGTACCTAGCAGCATGATGATGGTTTCTGGGATGGCACGGATAACGAAGAGGAGGACCTGGACGAAGAAGCAACAGTCACCAACCAGTGGCCAAATAACCAGTACTGGACTGCTCTGAGCGGTTCTAAAGAACTGCCTGCCCGGCCTTCCAGAAGTGGAAGTGCGTCAACGTGGATGGAAAAGTTTTCACGTAAGTAAACCACCAAGAAGATTCCCCAAAATGTAGCTCATTCACGGTTTCTTTTCAGCTGCAACTTGAGCTTCAGTTGGAGGCCTTGTCAACGCCTACAAAATGAGACCTGCTTCAACAAGCGTAGCAAGACAGAAGTAGTCCTTTCGTGGCTTCCAGGGCCGCCATGTTTGACTCCTTGGAGCAGCGGCGACCCCAGACGGTGCGCCGAATGTTACTACGAAGCAGATCCAGAAGCGGGAGAGAAGTAATCAGTGAATAGAAGAGATTTGAAAAGAGATCTCCCAACCAATTCTACAATTTCACTCAGCTATGCCGACTCCAAGAAAATGCTTCGGGAGGCTCGTCGGAAACTTAAGGAAAACCGTCGACGGAAGAAGTATCGCAAGCGCATTAAGAAGGCCCGTTTGGAGAAGGATTTTCTGTCGCAGAAGCTGAATTGCCTTTCGCACGACAGCCGGCACTGGCGCTCGGCTCCTCTATCCTTCTGTATATATGCCAACAACAATACGTACTCCTACCTGAGGACCGTCGCTGCCACCCACAATTATCTGTACTGCGAGCTCCCTTCTACAATCTGACCATAAGTATTTATGTCTGAGGATCTGCTGATTGATCTATTGAAAGTAATCCTCATATCTTCCCACTTTAGATCGCCTTAAGACCATGCCAGGTTACAGAGTGACAGAGTATCGTGCATCAAGCCCAACTGGTGACTGCCAGTCGAGGAGCTGCCGCCTTTCTAGCGTTGCATGCTATCCAAATACCTCAGGTGAGGTGAGTGGCTGGCTATCAGCTGGAGTGATTTCTCTAACCAACTTACGTTTCGCAGATGACGCATATGAAGGGGCGCCCCTGGAAGCAGCAGCCATAGCCACAGAAACAACAGTCCACGCAGGACATTAGCTATCTGATCCGTCTACCGCCAGACGAATGTCGAGCGAATCTGCACCCAGCTCTAAGTGGCCGTCCTCAACTCTTTCGCCATGTATCTGGACCTGTCCGGCCGCCAGTTGGATGTGCCGCAGCGCAAATTCAAGGTCTACTTCCTGATGCCCGGGGAAGAGGAGGCACAAAAGGTGGACCGGCTGATGGAGATCTTCTCTAAGCGCTACTGCGTCTGCAATACACGGTATTCGGTGAGTAGAGAATGCTCCTTCCCATTAGAGGATATCCCCCACTAATCAAATTTTTACTTTTTACAGATCTGAAACCCAGCTTGAAGCCGGAGAGGCGTATGCGCGTCGAGGACCTCATCAAGAATCTGCGGGGCATCGACGATTGCCACGACAGTGACAAGGACATCTCAGCAGGGGTATCTTCGAGCGCGTCAAGTCGGGCGAATTCAAGAAGGGCAGCGACCACGCCACTCATGCGTATCGTGCAACTAAAAACAATGGTCGGACCTGACGCACGTGTACCCTAAATATTAATTAAAAACATTTTTGTAGAGCCAAAACTACCAAAAACATAAAATACTAATAACGATAATAATAATAATACATAATAGCAATAACAAAACAAAACAAAATGTACATATATCAGAAAGCAAACGAAATAAAATTTCAATTAATTAAAATAAATAATAACAATGATCGTTTGATTTATAATTTTTGTATCCTTGGGATACTGGAAAAATATTTCCTTCGCCAATATGGCCCCATTTCCAGTAGCTATAGCACTAAAAAAAAATGGATAATAAAGGTCCTTGCTCAGGACATCGAAGGATCTCGACTGTAGGATGGAAGCCAAGCAGGGGAGCTCAAAATTATCCAAATCCGACGTTAATTACCCGATTTATTGCGTTTTATAACATTAAAAGGGCCATATCCTTATTATCCTTGATGCCAAACAATCGCGGATATTTTCCCAATTATAAAATGGTACGGCACGTCCAAATGGTATAGGAAATGGCAGAGAAAACGAGATATGTATGATTGGAGAACATCCTTGATCCTTGATCCTTGGGAAGGACCGTCCCGGATCAAGGATATTTTCTTCCGATCACAGGAAGCCGTCGCACGCCAGGATCGGCCTACAAATAACGGAGCAAAGAAGAAGACAACACTGGCCTGTTGTTTTTGTTGTCTTTGCCAGTTGTTGTACAACAACAACCGTCAACTTGCGGTCGCTCAAGTGGCCGAAAACGAGAAAATTTTAGACCGGGATACCAGGCGAACAGAAATCAGCAGAAGGCAACTTTAGCGAAAACACAATAAAGTGTTGCATACTTTTAGTTACAGAGCAAACTCGAATTTTAAAGCATAGCATACTTTTGGGGTTGGACGAAACCCAAGTCGCTTTCTGCTGATTTCTGTTGGCCTGGTATCCCAGCTCATTTTCGGCCGCTTGCCGTCGGACTTAGTTCGAAAATTTTCTTTAGCTATATCTCGACTGTTTATGGGCCGATCGGGGCGTGGCATGCCTTTTTGTGATCGGGAGAGTCCTGCCAACCGATTGGCACCGGAAAAAAGGACATCCCCTCCATCACGATTTTCGCCAAAAATCATGATGGTTACATCATTGAATTTGCCAAAAATCGGCCTCCTTTTTTTAGTCGAGATTTTGATGCCAATCGACAGGCTGGATCCTCAAGATCCTGGCAGAGTTGGTCCTTCGCCGATCTGGCCCTATTTAGCTGAGATATAGCCTTCCAAAGATTGCGATTTTCACATTATGCAAATACTGGTTTTTTTCTGCAAGCTATATCTCAGCTATACGGAACCCGATCGGGGTGTGGCATGTCATTTCGTGACCGGGAGAGTCCTGCCAACCGATTGGCACCGGAAAAAGGACATGCCCTCCATCACGATTTTCGCCAAAAATCATGATGGTTACATCATTGAATTTGCCAAAAATCGCCCCCCTTTTTTTAGTCGAGATTTTGATGCCAATCGACAGGCTGGATCCTCAAGATCCTGGCAGAGTTGGTCCTTCGCCGATCTGGCCCTATTTAGCTGAGATATAGCCTTCCAAAGATTGGGATTTGCACATCACGCAAATACTGGTTTTTTTCTGCAAGCTATATCTCAGCTATACGGAAGCCGATCGGGGTGTGGCATGTCATTTCGTGACCGGGAGAGTCCTGCCAACCGATTGGCACCGGAAAAAAGGACATCCCCTCCATCACGATTTTCGCCAAAAATCATGATGGTTACATCATTGAATTTGCCAAAAATCGGCCTCCTTTTTTTAGTCGAGATTTTGATGCCAATCGACAGGCTGGATCCTCAAGATCCTGGCAGAGTTGGTCCTTCGCCGATCTGGCCCTATTTAGATGAGATATAGCCTTCGAAAGATTGGGATTTGCACATCACGCAAATACTGGTTTTTTCTGTACGCTATGTCTGATCAGGGCCTTCCACGCCTCATCGCCATCGGCGGAATGTGCCGGATCGTTGGTATTCAAGGAAGGACCCCGGAAGGACATGCTACTACCAGCTCAGCCGCTAAATAGCCGAGAGATAGCGTATTTTAATTATTGCCATTTATTTTGTCATTTCGACATGTCCATCTCTGCTATTTCTTGTCCGATCTGGAGGTGCTATACCTTTTTGTAATCAGGGTAATCGCCCTCATCGTTTAAAACTAAATCGGTATCAAGGAGTATACGGATATGGCTTCGAGATGTTAGTTGGAAATTTAATTCAAATTCAAACTGTTCAGCGCCACCGAAAAGTATGCTGCAATTCATTGAATCCTCTGTTACGCTGCCACAGCTAGCTGTTACGCTGTATACCGCTACGGCTGTTAAGCTGTTACAGTTCGCGGGCTGTTATTCCTACATGCAATGAAATTGTTTTTTTCTACTGGCTGTCGACAGATTTGTGTGTCGTTTGCCCTGTTTGTAATCAGGACAGTCCCTCTGATTAATTGGAAATTATCTACAGATTAACGCTAGCCTTGATCTATTTTTCAAAGGCTTAGTTACTCAACGTTTCGTAGGTCTATTACAGTGCACTGTTAGCTGTTACGCTGCTAAGCAGTTGCGAGCTGTTAAGCGCGCTCATTGTTTGACTGTTAACAGAGCCTTACGTTACAAAATACGTTAAAGTAACGTAATGTTTTCAAATCAAATTCAAATTGAAACGAATTGCATTCTTTTGTTTGTTACTTAATTATTCACTTATTATTTGCAACATTATTTGTAAAGCAACAGCACATACATATACTTAGGTAAGTGTGTGTGTGTGTTTAATTTATTTTTTATTGTTTATGTATGTATGGTATGTAGCCATGTATTTTGGTTGAGGGGATCTTTAGTTCGTTAGTTCTTTAGGAAAAATTGCGCGCAATAAAGTAACAAATGTCTTGGGATACACATACAAATGCTTTATTTCACTATTAATATGTATGCATTTCCCCTTTGTATATGTATAGGTATTTATGTATGTATATGTATTGGTATTTATAATAGCCATATTATCATTTAGAAGTAAGCATACTATCTGTACAAGATCTTTCGTTTGGTTTTTGCTGAGTTTTTCGGAGAACATACAATAGAGAGAGAGGACGTTACATATGGCTTTCTGAGTGTGGCCCTCAATCGTCCAAGATGATGCTGAAAGGGATTAAGGGGATCATTAGTTGTGTTATTGTTGGAGACTCTTGTTGTGTATTTCAGTTGCTGGACTGGCTCACATGCGTTTCCTCAAGGACTTTCGCTTTCTGCGGAGCTTTTTGTAGGTGAATTTGCTCGGTGAGATTTTGTAGTCTCCATCGAATTCCAGTTCGAGTTTGATGAGATTTTGCAAATTCAACTGGCAGTCCTGCAACCAGTAGACAAACATGTATCAATACCATATCACCGTGGGAGTGCTTTGCTTACCTCCAAGTTCTTGAAGTGCCAACGTGAGTCATTGGGGGATGCCCCGTCGCTGGATAGCTCGCTGAGACAGGTGCGCATGATAGGCCAGCACTGGCAGCGCTTGTTGGTGATCTCGCAGCCCGGCTGCAAGACAATGGACTCCGCCTCGGTACAGTTGTCATGCGAGGAGGTCAGGGCGGTCAGGTGTTGCAAATCTGCGCAGAAATTAAGCCCCATTTAATAGTGGCCGCCCAATCGATGCAAATGCGGGGATTAATACACACATTAAATGTTCGTTAAGGCTTGAAATGAACTTTTGATTGTGGCAGCGCATTAACAGCGATTACTGTACCGTAAAGCGTTCAATTTAAATTAAAATTACGGCCTACTATATAAGGAGTGCGTCGCTGAACAAACTCCGCTTAGTGCGTACTGCGAACGGATATAAAAGGATGCTGTTTGCTCGTCTTGCCATTGGCTTCTTCATACTGGAGCTGGGACACGCCAGGGTTTGTTCGACGTCATCGAAAGGGGAGCAAAGAGCAAAGTGTAATCCCTTCTACGATTCCCATAGAACCACTATGAGATCGTTCTGAACAGTTTGAAGTGCCGCGCCGTGAAGGAGTCGGCGGTCAATGAGATGGCCTGCGTCCTGCATCGCAAGCGAACACCCATAATAGCGGCGCGCCTAAACCTGAGCGAAACCTTCCAGAACTTCGAGATACAATCGACGTTCGACCTGTTCAAGAAGGACAACACCCGCATGAACGTGGCCAGCCTCAAGATGGACGGCTGCAAGTACTTGGGCGCCATGTACGAGAACAATATCCTGGGCAAGCTCTTCAGGCGCTTCAAGACGTTCACCAATCTCCCCTCGGGATGTCCAATGCTCAAGGTACGTACTGTGCGACGTGTGTGCGATGAGTTGATTTGATTTGAGTTGAGTTGAGTTGAAACAGAGGCAAATGTGTGCTGGGAAAACTATTTAACTAATCGAAACTTCCGACCCCCTACCGCCCCGCTCGAAAGTCTCGAACAAAGACAAATATTTTCGTTTGCTCAAAATAACTTTTCAATAAATAAAAGCAAATATTTGTCAAAATTCAGCATCGACATTCTGCAGCTACCTACCAGTACGATGTTCTGTTCAGTCTGTTCCGTCTGTTTGCTCTGTATTCTCTGTTTTATTTCAAATTTCAACCCAAATTCCATCGCACATCGCACCGCATCGCCCAAGCTGCCCCCGGGGCGCATTACGACTAATTCTGCACCCAGACACGGAGCACAAAACACAAACTACACCAAGGAACCCTCGAACACCGAACTGATGTCCACCATTATGCTCGCATTATGCAGGGAAAACTGTACGAGATACGCAACTATACATTCCGATCGGACGAGTTCCCGCCCAGCGCGCCACAGGCCAAGTGGCAAGTGCGGACGCGGCTGCTGAGGCGAGCGGAGGTGTATGCGGATATATTATTGGAGGGCGAGCTGGTCTATAATACGTGATGTTACTGCATAATGGATGCGACTAAATACATATGCGAAAGAGCCCATAACCCATAACCCGTAGCCCCCCCTCGCTGTTTTTATGTCCCCCCCCTTTCTGGGCTCTGTGGCCCCGTGGAATACTCACCCATGCACACGCCCAGACCGCTGCTAATGGGCAGCTTGGTCACACACTGCAGGGGCGGCTCACATTGGCCGGAAAAACCGCCGGGACCGCCGCAGGATTCGCCCAAGGTCTTGGCGCAGATGCGACAACATCTGCGAATGGAATAGATGAATATACATACATAAATTAGAGTGCATATTAGGTAGGTATCCTACTAGCCTAAATGAATCCCAGTGGCAATTGATTCGATTCTGACTGGGCTTCGATAAGCGTTAACAATTAGTTAACACCCTCAATTGAATCGGGGGTTTAGCGTGGTTGCGTGACGCGAATGCGAATGCCGAAGGAGAACGCTGAAGGAGTGTACGTGACCCATGGATTGGCATTTCAAGAATGGTGAGACATCATTCGCGTAACTGTATTACTGGTAATTAGCCTCGGTGTGTTCTACAAATCACTTGAAACTCCAAAACAGGCCAAAAGCATCTTCTAAATGAAGCGAAAGTAAAGCGTAAGCCAACCCGAAAGGTGTTCTTTTTCATCTTTTTGGTATATTTTGATCAATTTTGAAGCAGATCCAAGCAGATGCAAGCATATTCAAGCAGATTAAAGTATATCCAAGCAGATCATAGAAGATCCAAGCAGATCAAAGCAGATGAAAGCAGATCCAAGCAGATCTAAGGAGATCCAAGCATATGCAAGCAGATCCAAGCAGATCCGCTGTACATCCGTTGTGCTTCAAAAAACCCTCTTTTGTTCAATTTTTGGCATTTAAAAAACACCAAGCTTTTGCCAACAACTTTTGAATAGTCCTAGAGATTTTACTCTGCATTTTAAATTTTAAATGCCTAATCCTTAAGCAGTAAGTACGATACCCAGCCATGTGACTGGCTATTTTGCAGCAAAAGCTCTACAAAATGAATATTTTCAGTCGTTTTGAAGTGTTCTTAATTTAGTAAGAAACGAAAATCCAGCTTTGTTCGATAGATTTTGGGCATATTCTATTTTTCCTTCGAGTTGGTTGGCTGTTGTAGCTGTTATACACAAATACAAACACTCATAAGACAGAGTTTTTAATATTCAGGATGGGAAGGTCATGCAATAAAACACAAGACTCTAAAGCTCTTGGGAATATATGCTGAGATTCCATTTAAATCTGCTAATAAATGAAACAAAACAAAAAAGTGTTCGCTTCTAAACTACGAATAAAGTTTATGGCCAACTATCTAAGAGTTCCTTGTCCATCGTTGAGGACTGCGTGTATGGTACAGATTTCCAGTAAGAAATCTTTGAAATCTCATTAACGCCGGCCCACATTCCGGCTGCATGGTTTTAAAGGCAAAAACCAGCATCGAAAGGGAGTCCTGGAACGCACTGCTTTTTGGATAATCATATAATTAAGAGGCTTCGGACCACCCAGCCACAGAACCGCACCCCCGGACGCACGCCCACACGCACCACCGAATGAGATAATATTTTGTTGGGGGTGGGGGGAATGCGGGTGGTGCGGTGGTGGGGTGGCTAAGTATCCACTTACTTGCATGGATCCCAGAGCATCAGGCCCTTGCCGGGGCAGTCGAGCGAGCGTATTACATCGCATTCCTTCGGATTGCAGTAGCATTTGAGGCCGTTCACCACATTGTTGCTGCCGCCAGATGCGGCCATTATCAGCAGCAGATAGCACCACAAGTAGATGAGGAACACGCTCACATTCAGGCGGCCAAAATAGCTTCCGTTCCGGCGCATCCTATGCGGAAGTTTGTTGGCTTTGTTGTACTGTTTGACTCCTCCCTGGCCTGCTCCCCCCATTCGGTGGGGCTCGGCTACTGCTGGCTCTTCTCCTCCTGCTGTTGTCCTTGTGCGTATATCCATGGCCCCCACATCCAGCGAACGACCGTCCTGCCTTCCTTTTCCACTTCCTTTTGCTCTTCCGCCCATTTATAGGCAATTTTTATTGTGCTTTTGCTGCGGGTCCTGCTCCTGCTGCTGCTCTTGCTCTGGCTTCTGCTTCTGCAGATGCGGATGCTGGCTCAGGCTCTGGCTCCGGTGCTGGCTGCTGGTGCTCTCGTTTGGATGGGGATCGGTGCTGGGTCCGACGCAGGCAATTTGCATGTTGACTGCAAAGGGCAAGAGCGTTGTTAAATGATTAAAAGGCCATAAACTAGGACTCCCACTCCCCCACTCCAACACTCCCCCATTCGAACGCCCTTTTGCGCCCCCCCTGTTGAAAATTGAAAAGTTGTTTTGCGGAAATCGGTTTGCCGTCTAATTTCATTAAAATTTCATCGCGCTGCCAAAAGGGAAATTGATCTGAGAGTGCCATATTCTGGCCATAATTTATTTAAATAGAAATATATTTGGGAAAATGCGCTGTAATTGGTTCGGGAAATGGAAATTTAAATGCTTGCCAGGAGAAAAAAAGTTAATTGAATTTAAAATATACAACATTTCTGCTAGCTATTGGAGCTACACTGCCAGAAAAATGGCATAGTAAAACGACAAAAAACACACCCATATTCAATTGAAACATTCGGCTTTTAAATAGAAAAAATAACGAAAGTGAATTCACTTTGATTTAAATTGTACATAAATGTATGGAAAAGTCTTTTGTATGTGGCCCATATTTAATCGAAATTTATGGGATATATATTTATTTTAAACACGAATAAAAAATATACGAACCACGACGACCCAACACTTTTGTATTCATTAGAGAGATATATTTATTTTCATATAAATGTCAATTTTCATTGGAATATTTCCACTCTCGGGGCAAATAAAATGGCATGAATATTTGGGGATTTTTTTGTCTCTATCAAACGCAAAGAGTAAAAAATAAATAATAAATAAATCCCCCCCCCCCCCAGACCCTTCGTTTCGTTCCGTTTCGACTTCTAATAAACATTAACTTTTGATATTGATCAGCTCCAAAATGCAATCGGAACAACAAATTTCGACTTAATTAACCAAAAAACAAGGTGGGGGAGGAGGGCACAGAGGGGAGAGATTGGGCTTGGGGCCAAAATCAGAGAGTGGAAAATGAACTCGTGGCCAAAAACCAAAAAAAAAAAAAACGCAACAACCGAAAATCGACAACCGACACAAAAAAAATACAAAAAACTTCAGAAATTAATTTGAGCGAATCCCCAAAAGTATGCCACATGCCGTCGAAAGTTGTTGAAAGCCAGAGGGAGACAGCGCCTGAGAGGGACACAGGGAAGAAAGAGACAGCTTGCGAAAGAGAGGGAGCAAGGGCGAGTGAGAGTGAGAGTGAAATGAAATTTGCTGGAAACACATGCCAAACTAATTTGTATTTAAACGTTTGATGTCGCTGTCGCCCTTCGCATGTCCCCAGCGCCCAGCCCAGCCCAGTCCAGCCCAGTCCAGCCCAGCCCTCCCCCCGGCAGCACAGCACCCATCGAACGGTAGTAGAAACTGCTCTTCGAGGGCCACCTTTGACGGTTTTCCCTTGAAATCAATGGAAAAATAATCAACTTTTGCTTTATGGCTCTTGATGTGTTTTTTGTTTTTTTGTTATTTCGCTCGGTGCCTGCACTTTTTGGCCAACTACTGCCACTCACTTTTGGCCAGGGGACACTTAATGTTAGTATTTGTATTTGTATTTGTAGTTGTGTTTTTCTTTTTTTGGTCGGTTGGTCGGTTGGTCGGTTGTCAACCACTTTCAATTGGGCATTCGATATTGTGTGTCGTGTATTGTTGGTGCTTTTTTGTCGCTGCTGTGACACTACCAATGCTCAAATGTGCATACAGTAACACACTCAAAAAAAAACATACACACTCAAAAAACATGCACACACGCACACACCTCGTTACACCTAATGACAGACGTTTAGGGCCACAGGAGGAGTAGTCGTCGCTCTTTATGCCGTTGTGGTTTTCCTTTCCTTTCAATTGTTGTTGTTGTTGTTGTTGTCACAACTCTCTGACGAAATGGACGAGGACGAGGACGAGGACGACTAGTTTGACGACGACGAATGATGATGGAACGGACCGCCACAAAATCTTATGAATTTTTCATGCGCTTTTGTCTGCCGCACGCGGCCATTTAAGTCGAGAGACTAAACTTAGTTGATATCGCCGCCTAGACCTTTTGCCAGTTAGAACGCAGGCAGCGGCAGCACAGTCGTGCCCGTCGCTATCCCGTCGTGGGATATTTCTTGTTTGTGTTATTTGTAAGCACAAAATATCCCAATGCTGCCGAGAGAGCGTCAGCGCTCTCTCTCTCTCTCTCTCTCTGGGCTTGCGCAGTGGCTGTTGAGCCTGGAAGGCAGAGTTATCAGCCACAACACACGCACACTAGCACCCACGACCGGGTTCATGCGGTGCCAAAGTACGCGATGTTCGCTACGCGTTCAAGGGAAATTTTCTCTCCGCTGTTTTCAGGATAGTTTTACGATTGTTCGATGGGAATTTAGTTGGGAAAGATAGTAAAAAGAGCAGAAAGAGTAGTATCCTTGGGCTTAGTTTCAGTCCAGTTTTGACTTTCAAAATGTCTACCCTGCAAAATCATATTAGAGGTCATTACAAACAGAATTCTATACAGATAAAACAAATATGTGCTTTAATACCTAAATTATTTCCCAAATTTATTGAAAGCTTAACCGATTGATACATCATTTCATGAACTTTGATCTGAAAACATAATAAAAAAAGCCAAAGAGTTCACTTTTTACCCCGGAATTTATGTAACGTAACGCCAGTAACCTGCGTCAGATGCTTGAAAAATGAACACTGAGTATTTCATTGTGCGAAAGAAACGTAAAACCTGAAAGGAAATGCCCATTTGGTACTACTTACATACGTAAATTTAGTGTGACCTTCGCCACTAGAGTTTTCCTATAACTTTAATGAGACTTTATTGAAAGTACAGGGACTTAAAGAGAGTTAATTCATTCCAAAATACTTGTAAAAATCAGCTGATTGTTGCATAAACATATATATTTTATAATATCTTGTGGCTAAGTACATTATGGCCTCAGATTCATGTAAAAATACCCTCCTTCGAGTTGCTGCCTTGGCCACTGGCATATCTCCTTTATCGCAAGAACTATTCCACGCATAAGCCTCCCACACACACACAGCACACACACAAACACACACACACCACAGCACACACACATACGGCACACTGGCAAACGAGCCACTAAAAACTCTTGACGCTGAATGGCACCGCGCGGCGGGTGAGCGGCGAACAAACAACGGATGCAAGAACATCCTTCAAAATATAAAGTCATTTCTGTTTATTATAATTACAAGCAAAGAGCTGTGGGGTTGGGGGGCGGGGCTGTGGGGGCTGTGGGGACTGGGGGACTGGGGAGCTAAAGAGCTCAAGAGCAGGATGCAAGGGCTTATGTCCCACTCCTCAGCCTCTTTTCGGCATCTTTTGGGACTCTTTTGGGGGTCGAGAGCCGGCAGAGATTGCCTCCACCGCCTATCAGCGATGCTGGAACGCCACGGCACGCCACGCCAGCATTTATCCGGGCTAATGGCCAATTTAAAAGTATGAAATTCTCGTCGTTTGTCTCTCATTATTGCTTTTTTTGGACCGAACTTTGATGATGAGGCCCGTGTCAGCTGCTAATAAGCATCGCTCTAAGCAATTTGCCTCCAATAAAAGCCACACACCGCACGGGCCTGTTCTTGCCACTGGCATTGCCACTCTGCCCCCACAACGCGTGCCTCTCTAAAAACAGACAGTGGCGGCAGGGGGTGAGGGGGTGAGGAGGGGGAAAAAACTTGCAACTTTTCCAATTAGCGTAAAACAGACGTTTGACTACAAAAGTACACGAGAGAGCGAGAGGGAGAGGGAGAGATGGAGATGGAGATGGAGATAGAGACAGAGTTCAAGTCCGAGCCTCCGAGAAGAGGGTGCCCCTCCCCCCGCCCCTTTGAACCACCCCACCCAGTGAAGAGGAATCCAATCGCAGAGTAAATGTTCCGTAAAACAACTGCGGACTGGGAGGCTTCCGCCGGACTGGCAACCGCATCGCATCGCATCCCCAGCCCATTGCAAACCCTACAATCCCATGGTACCATCCGATGGCCCTCCTCCTTCAACCAGATTTACAATTGAACAAAAGAGCAATCGGGAATTATGAGTGGGGCAAAACTTTTTCCACAACAATAACGAAAGAGAAGCCGGAGGAAAAAAACTTGCAAAAAAAATACATACCCCAAGAATATGAAAATATGGCTGAAAAGTGTAAGAAAAAAACCGAAAAAGAAACAAACTACAGAGCACCGGAGAGCGAGAGAGAGAGAGAGAGGGATCTGCAGATACCCTTTCCGATCAAACCAGCGAATTCCTCGAATCAATCAATCAGGCTTTGCCACAGAAATGCATATTTGGAGGATTTTCTACATAGATTTACACAAGAAACTGCTGTCCGGAGGCTCGAGGCCGGAGACTGGTGAAGAGCATACATTCAGGGGTAAAGTGCCGGAGAGCAGCGTGGAGTGGCCACGCGGGAAGGGCACACAAATATACATATATCGAGAAACTTGTGCGCTCGACTTGATGCTGCAAAAAGTAAATGTGCAACAATGTGGTGGGGCAGCTTAAATTGTAAGAGCATTCCCTCTGCCCATCCCCCATCCCCCATCCCCCAGTCCCCAATCCCCTTTGGAATGGTGCATTTCGGCTATTAATTCTTGAACAATTGCCAGAGGCAAAAGTTTGTCTTGCCGGGCGGCAGGGGCGGCAGGGGCGGCAGGGGCGGGTGTGGGCACACATTTATTTTCAATGTTTCATTACTTAACAACTTTTTGATGACAGTTTCATTGGCGTTTAAACAAAAATTGAAGTGTTCTCCGCATAAATGCCATATTTTTACATATTTTTTGGTTCTCGTTTTTCGAGTGCGCCATAAAACATTAAACACGAGAAAAACTCACAAAAGTTGGCTATGATGGCAGAGAGAAGAGGCTGCTGCGGCTCCGGCTGCGGCTGCGGCATCAAAACCGAATGAAAGAGGGAGCTGATAGACAGAGAGACAGAGAGACAGAGACAGAGACAGAGGGGGGCCTGGAATATGAAGTATGGCTTGTAATTCCCGTTTATAGTGAGGACTTTTCAGGCCACACTTGATGCCAAAGT